TGCAGGGCTAGGTCGTCGTCAGTCGTCGTCGTCTTTGTGCGACGACGACGACGATCTCTATCCTCGTGATACATCCCAGGTACGACTTGCCGGGACACTTTGTTTATTATCCCCCCATGCCAGGACCCCGAACTTTATCACCCCCCGTGTGTTATTCGTAGGGGCCATGGTTACTCCCGAGCCTGCGAGCCGTGGCGTTCGTGCTGCCCGCGTCCCTGTACACGAGCGTGGAGCAGGCGCCCCAGCCGACGGACCCCCGGATCAAGCTGCGGCAGCTCCCGGAGAGGCTCCAGGCCCAGCGCGGGGGCGGGGTGCTCGCTCCTTCGGTACAGGCAACGCGCTGAAGCATGGCCCGTTTCGGGCTCAGGACCGCAAGGGGGCTGGGATCGCCGGGCCGCTCACCAGAGTTCTGTCGTGGGAACCTGCCGGTGACCCGGGCCCGCCGTGGCCCGAGAAGCCCCTCATTCCTCGTACTGCGTTCCTATTGGTCGCACGATGGGTGTGAACTTTCGTGGGCGACAAGCCTATCCGCGTCCGCGGCCTCGCGGGCCGGGCCCCCCGGCCGCGACCCTGCTGATATTGTGCATTTTTGTCCGCGGATGCCGCGCGGAACGTGTATCCGTGTAACCGCGTATCCGCGGGATCGCTCTTCGGAAGCGGGCGTGGATTCGGGTACGTTCGCCGCTCCTGATATTTCGTGGTAAGAGAGGACTGCATAACAATTGCATTTCGGAGTTTCACGCGGATTTCTTGGAACGGCGCCCGACTCCCTTGGCGGCGCATCCGGCGCCGCCCGTGGCTCGCTCCGCGCGACAGGGGAGCGGGGCACAGCGCCTCATCCAAAAAATCCGCGCGGAGGTCCGAATGTTGATGCTTATGTGTTGTGTGGGTCTTCCTCTAGATGTTCGCATGCCCCTCGCTCTCTCCCTGCGAGGCTGGGACTCTTGCGAGCAAGCTAGGTGCACATGACGCGGCATGCCTTGGCGAGAGCTGGATACAGGTGTGACACGATGTCCTCCTGGCGATCGTCCCTTCTGTGGCCGTGTGTAGGCTTGTGGAAGTCGATGAATGGAGAGGAAGCGTGTTGCCAAATAGTTCCCAGATGTCTAAAGGATGTTTCAAACATGTTTTGAATATGTAAAAGCACGTGTGTAACATTGTTAGAACATGTTGTACACATATTTAACACATCTTCGAATCAATGATAGGATTGTTAGAGTGTCCATTGTCATGGCATCCACGTGTGTAGGCCAGCCTTCTTCGTGTGCATCCCACGCGCGGCCTGCGCAGGTTCCACACGTGAAGTCAGCCGTGTGTGTGTGTGTGTTTTCGGTTTGCTTGTGCATATCCACCACCTGGGAGACCGAGTTTCTCGAACCCCGCTGGGCGGCGGATAGACATGAGGAGGAGGAGGAAGAGGAGGAGGAGGAGGAGGAGGAGGAGGAGGGAGGTGGAGGAGGTGGAGGACCAGGAGGACGAAGAGGAGAGGGAGAAGGAGGAGGAGGGAGGAGGAGGAGGAGGGAGGAGGAGGTGGAGGAGGATACGTTCGGGCCCCTTGGAGCCCCAAATGTGTACACGTGCGCTGCCTCCGGGGGTCCTGGGAGATCGGGCCCCCAGGCAGTGGATCCAAGCCGCGCGCCTCTCTTCTCGCCCGCCCCTGCTCCCTTCCAGCATCCTTTCTTCTCTCCCCTGCCCTCGCTCCTCCCCATCCTCATGATCTCTCGTCCTCGTCGCCGTCCTCCTCCCAGTCTTCCCTGTCCCAGGCCGAGGAGCAGGGGAGCAATGGTGAGGGGTGAGGTGGGGGTCGATATGGAATTTGGAGGAGGAGAAGGAGGAGGAGCCGGACGATGAGGGACGACGAGGACGTTGAGAATTAAGAGGAGCAGGACGAGGAACAAGAGGAGGACGACGAGGATGAGAGACACGAGGTTGAGACCCGAGGAGGAGGTGGAGCAGGACGACGACGCCGAAGAAAACAAGGATGAGGATGAGAGGATCAGAGCAGATCACATGTTCTCCTGAACCCCTTGTATCTTCGCCTCGCCTCTCCTCCTTCCCTCCTCCTCATACCTCTCCTCCCTCCCCTCCTCCTCCTCCTCCTCCTCCTCCTCCTCCTCCTCCTCCTCCTCCTCCTCCTCCCTCTGGCGCGCTCTTGCGACGCCCTCGACGCGGCGGCTGCGGCCACGAGAGGCATCTCGGAAGCCCAGGGAGGGCGACGAGAGTCCATTTAGCTTCGAGCTTCGATCCGCCGCCACCTCCTGGACTGGACGGCCCGCATGCCCAACGCCGTCGCTTTTGCTCGCGGCGTGGTTCCCCGGAGGTGCGCTTCCCCCTTTTTCCTCGGGGGCAGCGATAGGGGGGATAGGCATAGGGAGCGATGGATGGACCCCCACTCGCCCACTGATCGCCGATAGGGTCCCGATAGCCCCACCCCGCCCAGGAGCGTTTGGATTTGCTATCAGGGGCGCATCGCCGATCTATCGGCGATGTATCGCCGATACTAGGCCGGTGCTTCCCCCCGTCTGCCAGTCCCCCCTCCTTGTCGTTGCCCTTCCCCCACTTCTCTGAGTTCCTCCTGAAAAGTTTGGCCGTTCAGGCAAAGGGGGGAACCCTGGGATACTCAGTAGGGGCAACAAAAAACACACACACAATTAGTCAACGATTCTCCCGAAAATCTGGGAAAATATGGGAGGTGGGGGGGAAGACAAGAACCAAGACAATATTGGGAATCCTGTTATTTGTGTCTATTTATTTGTGTGTGTCCCAGGGCCCCTTCAGATGTTTCCCGAGGGGGGCTAGCTATTCGGACGCACACACATCGAGGACGCACGCCCCCCCCCCCCTGCGCAGATCCCAGGGCTGGCAGCACATGTCGAGTGCAGTCGAGCGAAGACCTCCCAGAGCCTGGGGATCGGGGTCGACACGTTCCTCTGTGATTCCACCATCTCAGACGATGCCGACACGCGTATCGGGGACGAGTCGGAAAACGCTTGCCGGGACACGCTGCAACTTCCAGTTGCTCGCTGCGACGTTGCCTGGTCGGGGGCCGCGGAGAGGAAGCTGGCCGTACTCCGTGCTGCCGGCTGCTGATTTCGAACCCTCCTGGCTCTGAGAGGGCTATCCAGGAACGTGTCCCTTGTGATCCCAAGTCCGACGTTTCAAACCCGATAGGGAGCCAGGCGTCGCGGTTGTTTGCGACGGTATGACTTGAGGGTCGTCGTCCTCGACCTCGTCCTCGTCGTCGTCGTCCTCATCGTCGTCGTCCTCGTCGTCCTCGTCGGCGTCGTCGTCGTGGTCTCGAACCCTCTGAGCTCTAAGATGATCCGTCCAGGTCCGCTGTTGACCCCGTCTTACGTACAGTAGGAGCTCGACCACCAGAAACCTTCCACGAGAAGCCACACCCTGAGACCCCAGGACGCCCATGGGGTCTGTGTGTGGGAGCGTCACGCTCCCCATAGCAAAAACATCAAAACCCAAGAAACCCAGGACACTCTGGATGCAAGCGGGGTGTTTCTTGGAATGGGTCCCCACTGTATGGGTTGGTTCGTGGGGCGTTGGCGCGCAGGCGAGGCCGGCGAAGGCGTGCAAGGCTGAAGTCTGCGGCGCGGAAGAGTCGGGGGACACGGTAACGCCACTGGACTTGTGAAGGACGGTCAATGGAGAGGAAGCATGTTGCCAAATAGTTTCCATATGTCCGAAACATGTGCAAACCATGTGTTAAACATGTTTTGAACATGTAAACAACATGTTAAAAACATGATTGAACATTTTTCCAACATGTTAAACACAGTTCAAATTCAATGATAGGACCGGTAGGGTGTCCATTGTCGTGGCATCCACAATTGGACCCGACGGAATCAAACCTTGAACGATGGGGGCCGCGAACGATTCAAGGTTGAACGATCGACGCGGTGTCAAAATTTTGGCGCGCGCGCGCCAGCGCCGCACGAGCCTACCGTAGGGTATCGACTACAGCATCAGTTCGCCCCCAGAACTGTTATCACCATGGAATTTGCGAAATATTCGCAGGAGATGTGTAGATTCACGGGATGTTCGGAAACGTATGCAATTTTCGTAGGCTCGGCGGGGATATAAAGTTTGGGGTGCATCAGTACTGTAGTCGATCCCCTACTCGAATCTTGGGCCCCGCTCCAGGCGGTGCGCTCGTTCACCTGGAACTTCCAGCCGGATCGCGCCAGAGAGCAGCTGGCGGAGCTGCTGGCCGATCTGGACCCAGAGGGGCCTCCCTGACGCAGCGTCTGGTACCTAGCGTAAGGCTCGCTGATGTGGAGGAGGAGGAGGTGGCGACGTGGAGGAGGAGGAGGAGGAGGAGGAGGAGGAGGAGGAGGAGGAGGGGGAGGAGGAGGAGGAGGAGGAGGAGATGAGTAGGAGGAGGATGATGATGTCGTTGAAACTGGGCAGCGCGGGGCACTCCCGGAGGGGTGGAGCGAGGATCAAGCATCGAGGGTTCAGTCTTGTACTTGCATTCTCGAGCTGTTTCAACAGTTTTGGGGCCGCTGGGGACGTCTTGGGAGCCAAGGGACGTCTCCTCCTGCACGGAGCGAACAGAGGAGTTGGAGAATAAGGGAAGGCGTCAACGCAGGGGACTCGAGGTTCTGCGTTGTGGGGCTTCATACGCAGCTCGGAAAACGAGCCAGGATGGGGATGGGGTCAGGAAGTGCGAGGTTTTGGGATGTATCCTCTTTGACGCTTTGGAACATGTTCGGCCCTTGGGAGGTTTCTCTTCGCCGCGGCTTGCTACAAGTCGACATGCTCACCAGGGTCGATCTTGAGGCTCTGGCCGATCGGCAGGCCACCCGGTAAGAGGCGGGGGAAACGAGAAGCAGGAGGGATCGAACTTCGGCCAGTTCTTGTTCGCAGCCTTCCCCCTTTGGGCCCCGTTTCGAGCGCCGGGGCCTCGGGGATGGAAGTCTGGCGGACCCTGGGAATCCTCGGGTGGTCCGTTTGGAGCGGATTTTTTGGGGGGACTATTCAGGAAA